ACTAAGTGATCGCCAGTTCAGGAATCGACATCTGAATAATATTCATTTTTTAAAATGCATATTGCTAATCACCATGATGCCGCTGATTATACGTTTTTGTAACCTGTATAGCGAAAGGTCGTAAACTTTTCATAGACGCGCCTAAAAAAGTTATGCGATTAATAGATGTAATGATGTGTTAAAACAAACAAAAACAGATAACGTGTTGAAATATCTAGATGACAGAAACAGGTAGCCCAAATTGTTGACTTTTGATGTAGAATATAATTTTTACTATTATTAGACTTCACATATAGTTAAGCTTTTTATCGATGTTGCTATTTTCAGGTTTTTGAATCAGTTGATTTTATATTAACACCAGTATCACCTAGTTTACCTATTAGTATAGATGAATTTTCCAAACTCGACAATCGAACACGTACTACACTTGATGATGTATGTACAGTAGCTGTAAATTTGTCCGGATTACCTGCAATTTCATTTCCTGTCGGTCTATCATCTACACGTGGATTACCAATTAGTTTACAATTAATTGGACCATACTTTTCAGAATGTCAACTGTTATCACTCGCTGCTAAATTAGAACATCAGGCATGTTTTCAACCTTTAATTAATCATAAATCCATTATTGATTCTATTTAAGAGTGCTTGATTTTTTAAATTTTTCTTAGTCTCTTTTCCCTCATTTCTTTCGGTAAATCATTTGAAATTGAATTATCGAGTGAAGTTGTATATCTCCTTCTTTTGTTTCTATTGTTTTCTTATGAAAAAGAAATTAATTGTACAAATTTGACATATACTAGTTCTAATTTTTTAGTGATATTACGATGACAATATACTGAATTGTTCTATAGTTTAATACTGTTTTTTTCTTAATCTATTAATCATTCGAAGAAAATTAAATAATTAATTAAGTTTTCCTTGTTTATTGCATTTTTTGTCGGAGAAAAGTTATATATATATATATATATATGACGGTCAGTTAATTAAGCATTCATATTCTGTTGATCACAGAACAGAGGGACCTTACGTTTGTTTCTTTTTGTTTTGGAAGAAGAAACAAACTGATAATCGTCAGTATTTTTAATTTATATTGAAATAGTTACTACTTTTATTCATTTGCAAAATATTTTGTTTGTTTCCGAATTTCTTGTCATATTGAAATCAATTAATCTTTTTAATTGATGGACGCAAGTGTTCAAGTATTAGGTTATTGATTAGTGCCATCACTAGTTAATAAACAATTGACTTTTAATCACAATTGTAAATCCAAACCTTTCTGCTTCCGTATGACTTTTAGAAGCCGGCGCTTGATTACTGAACTGCGTGTATATTCATTTATAATTTGTATTTTTAGGTATATTTAGTAATTTAAGTGATTTTGTACCAAAATTATCAACTATGTGGGATGTATTTTCACCGAAGTTTTATCAGAATATTATTAAAAATAAATTAGCGTAAATTGTATATCTTTCAATGGTTGAGATCATTTGTCAGTTGAAGCTAGACCATTATAGGGACCCTGGAAGCACTGGACGGCCGTTTCGTCCTATTGTGCGACTCCTCAGCAGTGCGCACCCACGATATTGCCTAGCGAGATTTGGACCTAGGACCTACCAGTCTCACGTGCGAGCCGGCATCCATGGTGATCTCAGTCAGTCAGTTACAACGTAGGACCAGGCACATTTATGCATCGGTCCAAGTTGCCATACCACATTAACACAACAAGATGGACACCGGATTCATAAAAGTAGTTAATTCAGAGGTTGTAATATATAAAAGAAAGATTGCAATAAGGATATAGTACAGGAAGAAAGAATTAGTTCGTAAAAAGAAAGATATGAAGCAATTTTAATCTCATAGTTTAAGGGAAGATAGAGAGTGTATACACCGACGCCATTGTAATCGATTCTGAGCCATGTCACCAAGAGTCTCCAACCATTGGTTACGATAGTCACGCGGACCCCAACCAAGTAGTCTGCATCTACCGACATGGCTCAGACTAGAAGTTAGTGACTTCAAGCACTGATGCCACGTTTTTGTTTGGCCGCCCCTGACTTTCTTCCAACCATCCCGAACGCCGGTTAGCATTGCACGTCGTGGTAATCGGTGTTCAGGCATACGTAACACGTGGCCCGACCATCTCAGTCGATGAAGATTCATAACCTCATCAACTGATTTACCATCCTTCCCTAATACCCTGTGTCTAACCTCACTATTACTTACCCGGTGATCCCAGAAGATGCGAGCAATATTTGTGAGGCATCTGTGGTCAAATACTAGTAGCTTACGAGTGTCTTCTACTCTTAATGACCATGTTTCACTGCCGTAAATTAAAACAGAACGGACTGTCGCGCAGTATACTCGTCGTTTTATTGGTAGACGGATATCTCGCCTTCGCCATAGGTGACGTCAGTTGGCAAAAGCCAAGCGAGCTTTTCGAATCCGTGCTGAGATTTCGTCAAGCACCAACCCATTAGGGCTGATCAGACTTCCAAGATAAGTGAAGTTGTCAACGCGTTCCACTACTTTACTCCCTATCCTTAGTTCAGGTGTTGACATAGACCAGTCCTGAAGCAACAACTTGCATTTCGAGGGAGAGAAGTGCATTCCAAACATTCTGGCATTGTTGCTTAGTGCTACCAGAAGACTGCATTTTATCAGCGTCTTCACCAAACAGGACTATGTCATCCGCTTATTCTAAGTCGATAAGTGGACCTCCTGGAAGGAGCTCAATACCCGAGAGTTCAGTCGACGAGAATGTTATTTCCATCAATAGGTCTCTAGTGATGTTAAACAAAAATGGGGAAAGTGGACAGCCTTGACGGACACCACTTGAGGTTGCAAAAGCAGATGACAGTTCACCATGAGCTCTGACTCGATTAGTAGTGTTCGAGTAAAGAGCCTTCACAAGGTTTATATACTTCTGAGGTACGCCTTTCAATGACAGACACTGCGACAGAATCTCGCGGTCTACCGTGTCAAATGCTGCTTTTAAGTCAAGAAAGACCACCATTGTCGGACGCCGATAAGTATGCCTATGTTCTAGAACCTGACGAATGGTGAATATGTGGTCGATGCAGCCACGACCAGGTCTGAAGCCAACTTGATTCTCTCGCGTTTGCAGTTCACGGGTCTTAGTTAAGCGTCGTTTACAATTCATATTTTTAATTTTCTCCCTTCGTGTTAATTTAACGTGACAACTTGGACTGACATACATTTGTAGCAGTCTGTGGTGATTGTGTCCAACGTATGTTAGGTGAAAATTTTGACAAAAATGTCCAACCATTGTATAGTGAAATCATTGCCAGACTCATCCGCAGGCGTCTCACATAATGTGTGCGAAAATCAGCATTGTTTATATGAGTTAACTACTTGTTAACTCGGAAATATTCCAGAGCCACGTTGTCTGTAATTGACTTTCATTCATTACACTTATGAATCGTGTCCGAGAAGCTCTGTCCCACATCTGGGAAACTTAGCTCCCTTATGATGAATTAGTTTATCTGCTAATGACTGGTCATATTCTGTGGTTACGCCATGTAAATAATGCTGAGATCAGGTAACATATGTAAACAATAAAGACTCATTTGTCATTTATGGTGAAATCTTGATTTCATTTGAATGAATATTTATAACTCTTAGCTTCTTCACATCCTGATGTGTATAGGTTGGCATATATAATCGGTAAAACGGTGGTTTAGTGGTTGAAGTACTTATCTTTCAATCGATAAGTTACAGATTCGAATACTGTTTTCATCTACTTTGAGTGGAGCACCCGCGTAGAATCATCAGCCTTTACACAATAAACACTTGACTCAAAGTTGAGTGTATAAACTTTTTGTTAGTAAATGAGTTAACGTGGTTGTTGAGTAATGGGGAATGTTAATGCTTCCAAAGTACTTGGCTATTTTTTGCTGGCATTCTAATAATGGTCTCGTGGTATTGTAAGTTCTAATGATTCCTCGTATTTATGCTAAAATATTCTAACGATGGTGTAAATTTTCACTAAACATAAAGCTGATTTGTTCACAAGTAAGCTGTGAATTTACGGTTACTTAGGGGAACTGAATAGATATTTGGTGGGCAAAAGGAAGGTAATTATGATTATTATTTCAACACAAGTTTAGAACTCAGTCACTTAAGTTTGCCGGTCATAGACAAAAATAATGGTACACGGCTCTTGATTTCGAAACTATCTAGTTGGTTAGCTGTCAAACCGAAGTCTACTTTATACATAAAGATAATAAACTGAGTTTCCAACTGTCCAAAATAAAGTTTTATCCCACACAAATTCACACATTTGATTGATTGAATTCTTTGAAATAGAACATATTAACTTGTTTTCCATGTGCAGAAAACCAGAGAACTAAAGTTAACTATGGTATTGTATTACGAATCTTTTCATGTAATGGGTCATGTATAAACTACTTCCTTAACTGGTCGTGTTTATAAATTTGTATTGATGGCTAGAATTTCTACATTATGTGTGTTTTCATAGAGTTTCTTTTAGGAAATTTTCATGGTTTTGATAGTAATGTTTCTTGTTCTAGTTAGCAACAAACTGTACATCTTGTTTAGATTCTCAACCAATTGGGAATCGTAAGCTTTTTCCGGACTATTCAATACATATACTTCCAACCTGATTACGGATCCATAATTTTGTTTGAACTTTGGACTGATGATATTTTTGGCTTACACTACATTCTTATTGTTTCTTAGGTGTATACTTCATTAGTGAGAGACGTAATAGCGTTTTTTGTAAGTTGTATATGGCTGGTCAAAATATGCCTTCATGTTTTTATTGTTGCGTATGTGTCATATGATCTTAAAATAAGAGCTTACTAATACTATGTTAACTCAGTTAATAATATCTAAACTTACCTTTAAACACCTACGCGTAACTTGATATTTTTTTAAAATTTCGTGTTTGTGGTTTGTTGTTCACTTTTTTGGATTGTAAGTTTACTATTTATAGCCTGAATACCCTGCTAAACATTGGTACTTGCCTTTCAAGACTAACAGGAAATAGTTATAAATGGGATTGTGAAATATCATTGTATGGAATATTATTAGATAATTAAACATTGTTCAGTTGAATTGGATTTAAACCAGTGTTTCAATCACTAAACTGTGTATCTCTTATTCACGATTTCGTAGATGATAAGAAGGATGTATTAAGAATTTATTGTTTATAAGTTTTTGATGCATCTTACTTTTCTAAGTATAGGTAAAATTAATATGGCTTCGAATCTCAATTATTTTCTTCTAGTCTAGTTATTAGCTTATAATTGCGTCGTAGAAACACTCATATAACGGTTTCTTTCGTTTAAGCTTTTATGTGAAGTGCTACTCTGATTTTTCGTTTACTAGCTCATAAATTTGTTGAATGTATTAATGCTTTCGAGTTGTCATATATTTCCAGTTTTTATACCGAGGCTTCAATGTCACGCAGCTGTATATACCATCTTCATTCTTCACTGCTTTCTAAACGTATTAATCCTGAGGATGTTTGGCGCGTATTTATTGGTCGTATCCAAGCCGATATGCAAGGTGTTAAAGATGGTTTATCTGTGTCAAAACTTGGTCTTCCTCCTACCAATTCAATACTGAGTAGCTTATCTGAGATTATGCCAAAGAGTTCAGTTACAAATCCAGATACTCCCAATTTGATGACTTCCGTACCGGTGGTTGTAAAAGATAATTTATGTGTCAATTATCGTAGACTACCTCTAAAAACAACATGTGCTTCTAAATCACTGGAAAACTTTTGTTCACCATATGATGCTGCTGTAAGTTAAAAATGCTTAAATTTGAAAATCATTAGTTCAATCTTGTATTTGTTTGCAAATTAGACAGACTAAATTCAGTATTTTCCTATATTTTTTAAATTAATGTGTTCATTTCTAGGTGTTGCAATTTTTCCACTACACTCCTACCAGTCTTTTGATTGACATATGTTGTTGAATGTTGGGTTCAAATAAAATGATAAATCCTGAACAGTTAACGAAAACACTATTGCTGGTCATTTATTAATGGACTAAACGTTTCTGTCAAGCCAATTTTATCGAAATATATACTCACCCTTTCTTATTTCATTAAGGTACCAATATGTAGGATAAAGGGTATTCAGAAAGTTGAAGTAGATATATTTTTACAATTCTTCTAATCAAATTAAATAATCTATGTTCAAGTACTATAATATCTCTCCACAAAACGTTAAAGTTTTTCCACAGAAAGGGTATACATTACTCCCGTATTCAAACCTAATTATAAAAGCATAGTTTTTCAACTGTAGGTCGCTTAAAAACGTATACATTTTATCACCACAGGCATTTCCAAGCTATGTACGTTGTATCCACAATTGATACAGAATTTCTCAAACCTCATAGTTGGGGGAGCATGTTAAACCATCGCTTAGAAACTTCGTGATATTTTTATGATTTCAAAGTTTTCAGTCGTTTGAATTTGACATATATCAAAAGATAAAATAAAATGTATTCAGAGAATAAGGTTACACGATACGTTAATTTAGTTTTATTATAGCCAATTACTTTTATTATGTGTCTGCAATTGTTCAAAACTTCAAGATGAAATGATTCATGAACTTTTGTGTGAATGAAAGCACGTACATTTCATATGAAACTAACTTGTTCTTTACATACAGTTATCCTTTTTGAAAACCGTGATATTATTTCAAATCCCATTAAACGTAAGGATGTAAATAGTTATACGCTACTTACACTGATCTTTAGTCTTCATCAAACTGCTTAGCACAGCTAATTCAGTGCAGAAATCACCGAGAGTGTACTTTGTATCATTCGACAAAGTGATTAGTGTTTATGTTAATTAAGTGGTCACTTATCGAACTCTCTGCTTTATTTCGGGATAGTTTGGGATACGTTACTTTCAAGTAACAAAAACAACCTATTCGTACTAGCAATTATTAATAACTAAGTGGCATTATCGTACTATATAGTTTGTATATTGTTGAATTTTCCTGGTTAGTTTTTACTGAATTTACGAAAGTAAATAACCAAGAGCATCAAAATGTTAATTTATACATACGAATCAATATAGAGCTTAGATGTTATTCAGTCACCACACTCAAATGTCAGTTTGTATTTCAAATTGTAGTTCTGCTTATTTAAACATTTTAAACAGCTATTTGCTGGAATATTTTTGTTTGATTCCTTGTCTCTTTCGAATGACTTCTCCAGGTTGTATCATCTCTTCTTCATTCAGGAGCTTTTATTATCGGGAAGTCAAATATGGATGAGTTCGCAATGGGTTGTGGATCTACAGATAGTGCAGTTGCTGGTCCTGTTGTTAATCCATGGTCTGAAAAAGCAGCTAGCGAAATTCGTCTTATCTCGGGAGGTAGTTCTGGAGGCAGTGCTGCTGCAGTTGCTGCTGGTCTTTGCTTGGCTAGCGTTGCTTCGGATACTGGTGGTTCAGCACGATTACCTGCTGCTTATTGTGGAGTTGTTGGTTTAAAGCCAACATATACTTTACTCTCTCGTCATGGTCTTATCCCATTAGTAAACACTTTAGACGTACCTGCCATCATTGCACCATCTGTCAGCGATGTGGCTTGTGTTTTAACAAGTTGGCTATCCCCCATAAATAACTTTGCACGAATAGGTGATGCCACATGTTCTCAACTTCCACACTCTTTTCTGACTCGTATGTACAATGAATTGCAAGCTCTTGGCAAAGGTGATTTAGATTCTGCTTCCAAGGACGCTCCGCTACGCATAGGTATCCCGTTAGAGTATCATGTTCCTGGTCTTCAAGAGGAGATATGTTCCATGTGGGACACTGTTGCCGGTTGGTTAGCTGATCATTTATCCTGTCTTGTACAGTCAGTCAGATTACCTCATACACCTATGGCCACAACTGTGTATTCAGTTTTGTGTGCGACAGAAGTAGCATCAAACATGGCCAGGTAATTTCAAATTATACTTCATTCCGAAAATATTCTTTTCTATGGGTTATTGATTTCCTACCGTTATAGATTATTAATATTGTGGACTGTTAATGTTCATAGCTGGGTGCTGCTAAGAATTTCCAGGATAAATTGGAATAGATGTTCAACACGATCTTGCTTTCATGATTGAGTACCAACGTTTAGTAAAAACTATTTTCAATTAATAATTAAAACGGATCACATGAACTTTTCAATAATGTAAGGGTCTGGGACTTATGAGTGTTATCTGTATTGCGGCATGTGAATCTGGTCGAACTGTATAATTGTTGTATTACTTTATATGCAAACGAAATTCTCTGTTGACAATTAGTTTCACTGCTATAAGTAATCTTTTTTTGTTCGTCAGAGTTGAGAGTATTAAATTTTCTCTTCATAAATAAGCAAATATCGACTTACTAGGAATCTGTTCTGCTTTTTAATGATCTAATTAATTTCTTTTCAGATACGATGGGTTAAAGTATGGATTTTCCACAACGAAGTTATCCAACTATCATGAAGATTCATTACTGAAAAATACGGTGACACAATACTCTGCTACTCGTTCATTAGGTTTCGGTGATGTTGTTCAAGGCAGAATTTTCGCTGGTAATTTCTTTCTTCTTCGAGATCAACAGTGTCGACATTTAGCTGCTGCACGACGTCTATGGCGTTTGATCAAGGAAGATTTCATGAAGGTAATGTCTAGATTTTTGTGCTAACAAATGTACTTCATCGATATAAGAAAACCAGAAATTCTACATAACACCACATGAGTTTTAGCCCATTGTGTCACATTAATTATATAGTTAGCGCGTTATCAAAAACACTGTTTAATTAATATCATTATCAATGGCTTTATTTAATATTATATTTTCGGTACAATATAGAACTCTCATCACAAAGTATTTCAACAAGTTTCCTTTCCTTATTTCTTGATCGACCCTGGCGATAAATACTAAGTGATCGCCAGTTCAGGAATCGACATCTGAATAATATTCATTTTTTAAAATGCATATTGCTAATCACCATGATGCCGCTGATTATACGTTTTTGTAACCTGTATAGCGAAAGGTCGTAAACTTTTCATAGACGCGCCTAAAAAAGTTATGCGATTAATAGATGTAATGATGTGTTAAAACAAACAAAAACAGATAACGTGTTGAAATATCTAGATGACAGAAACAGGTAGCCCAAATTGTTGACTTTTGATGTAGAATATAATTTTTACTATTATTAGACTTCACATATAGTTAAGCTTTTTATCGATGTTGCTATTTTCAGGTTTTTGAATCAGTTGATTTTATATTAACACCAGTATCACCTAGTTTACCTATTAGTATAGATGAATTTTCCAAACTCGACAATCGAACACGTACTACACTTGATGATGTATGTACAGTAGCTGTAAATTTGTCCGGATTACCTGCAATTTCATTTCCTGTCGGTCTATCATCTACACGTGGATTACCAATTAGTTTACAATTAATTGGACCATACTTTTCAGAATGTCAACTGTTATCACTCGCTGCTAAATTAGAACATCAGGCATGTTTTCAACCTTTAATTAATCATAAATCCATTATTGATTCTATTTAAGAGTGCTTGATTTTTTAAATTTTTCTTAGTCTCTTTTCCCTCATTTCTTTCGGTAAATCATTTGAAATTGAATTATCGAGTGAAGTTGTATATCTCCTTCTTTTGTTTCTATTGTTTTCTTATGAAAAAGAAATTAATTGTACAAATTTGACATATACTAGTTCTAATTTTTTAGTGATATTACGATGACAATATACTGAATTGTTCTATAGTTTAATACTGTTTTTTTCTTAATCTATTAATCATTCGAAGAAAATTAAATAAATTAATTAAGTTTTCCTTGTTTATTGCATTTTTTGTCGGAGAAAAGTTATATATATATATATATATATGACGGTCAGTTAATTAAGCATTCATATTCTGTTGATCACAGAACAGAGGGACCTTACGTTTGTTTCTTTTTGTTTTGGAAGAAGAAACAAACTGATAATCGTCAGTATTTTTAATTTATATTGAAATAGTTACTACTTTTATTCATTTGCAAAATATTTTGTTTGTTTCCGAATTTCTTGTCATATTGAAATCAATTAATCTTTTTAATTGATGGACGCAAGTGTTCAAGTATTAGGTTATTGATTAGTGCCATCACTAGTTAATAAAACAATTGACTTTTAATCACAATTGTAAATCCAAACCTTTCTGCTTCCGTATGACTTTTAGAAGCCGGCGCTTGATTACTGAACTGCGTGTATATTCATTTATAATTTGTATTTTTAGGTATATTTAGTAATTTAAGTGATTTTGTACCAAAATTATCAACTATGTGGGATGTATTTTCACCGAAGTTTTATCAGAATATTATTAAAAATAAATTAGCGTCAATTGTATATCTTTCAATGGTTGAGATCATTTGTCAATTGAAGCTAGACCATTATAGGGACCCTGGAAGCACTGGACGGCCGTTTCGTCCTATTGTACGACTCCTCAGCAGTGCGCACCCACGATCCCGCCTAGCGAGATTTGGACCTAGGACCTACCAGTCTCACGTGCGAGCCGGCATCCATGGTGATCTCAGTCAGTCAGTTACAACGTAGGACCAGGCACATTTATGCATCGGTCCAAGTTGCCATACCACATTAACACAACAAGATGGACACCGGATTCATAAAAGTAGTTAATTCAGAGGTTGTAATATATAAAAGAAAGATTGCAATAAGGATATAGTACAGGAAGAAAGAATTAGTTCGTAAAAAGAAAGATATGAAGCAATTTTAATCTCATAGTTTAAGGGAAGATAGAGAGTGTATACACCGACGCCATTGTGATCGATTCTGAGCCATGTCACCAAGAGTCTCCAACCATTGGTTACGATAGTCACGCGGACCCCAACCAAGTAGTCTGCATCTACCGACATGGCTCAGACTAGAAGTTAGTGACTTCAAGCACTGATGCCACGTTTTTGTTTGGCCGCCCCTAACTTTCTTCCAACCATCCCGAACGCCGGTTAGCATTGCACGTCGTGGTAATCGGTGTTCAGGCATACGTAACACGTGGCCCGACCATCTCAGTCGATGAAGATTCATAACCTCATCAACTGATTTACCATCCTTCCCTAATACCCTGTGTCTAACCTCACTATTACTTACCCGGTGATCCCAGAAGATGCGAGCAATATTTGTGAGGCATCTGTGGTCAAATACTAGTAGCTTACGAGTGTCTTCTACTCTTAATGACCATGTTTCACTGCCGTAAATTAAAACAGAACGGACTGTCGCGCAGTATACTCGTCGTTTTATTGGTAGACGGATATCTCGCCTTCGCCATAGGTGACGTCAGTTGGCAAAAGCCAAGCGAGCTTTTCGAATCCGTGCTGAGATTTCGTCAAGCACCAACCCATTAGGGCTGATCAGACTTCCAAGATAAGTGAAGTTGTCAACGCGTTCCACTACTTTACTCCCTATCCTTAGTTCAGGTGTTGACGCAGACCAGTCCTGAAGCAACAACTTGCATTTCGAGGGAGAGAAGTGCATTCCAAACATTCTGGCATTGTTGCTTAGTGCTACCAGAAGACTGCATTTTATCAGCGTCTTCACCAAACAGGACTATGTCATCCGCTTATTCTAAGTCGATAAGTGGACCTCCTGGAAGGAGCTCAATACCCGAGAGTTCAGTCGACGAGAATGTTATTTCCATCAATAGGTCTCTGATGATGTTAAACAAAAATGGGGAAAGTGGACAGCCTTGACGGACACCACTTGAGGTTGCAAAAGCAGATGACAGTTCACCATGAGCTCTGACTCGATTAGTAGTGTTCGAGTAAAGAGCCTTCACAAGGTTTATATACATCTGAGGTACGCCTTTCAATGACAGACACTGCGACAGAATCTCGCGGTCTACCGTGTCAAATGCTGCTTTTAAGTCAAGAAAGACCACCATTGTCGGACGCCGATAAGTATGCCTATGTTCTAGAACCTGACGAATGGTGAATATGTGGTCGATGCAGCCACGACCAGGTCTGAAGCCAACTTGATTCTCTCGCGTTTGCAGTTCACGGGTCTTAGTTAGGCGTCTGAAAATTACTGAGGCTAGTATTTTAGATGCTATATTAGTTAAACTAATCACTCTGTGGTTTTCACAGAATGATTTTGATCCTTTATGTATCGGGACAATAAGCGATTACGACCAGCCAGATGAGATAACGTCCAACTCCCAGATCTTAGCTAAAATATTAATCAACCTAGTCGCTAAAATTGTACCGCCATACTTAAAGACTTCTGGAGTCAATCGATCTGGACCAGCTGCTCTTCGTCGTCTCAGATTAGCTATGGCCTTATGAACTTCAGTTAGATTTGGGGGACCTATTTCAATGTTCCATTCACACCATCTGGGAATGGTGGGTAGTTTTAGAGTATCTGAAGGCCAGTTGAACTGCTCCTTTAGGTGTTCCGACCATCGTTCTAAACGTCTGGACTGAGCAGGAATGTGTCGTCTCTTTCCGAGATATTCTCACTTACACTTGACTTTTTAGTTCCAGTTTCTTTTATGAGTCTGAAGAGCTGTCTGGTGTAACCTACAGACGCCGCCTTTTCCATCTCTTTGCTTTCGATGCCCACCACTGCTCACGGTCGTTCCTTAGACTTTTGCTTAACCTAGATCTGATTTGCTTTCGCTCATCATCGTGTTCGGGGGCTGATGGGATGAGTTTACGAGAATCCATCAGTACAATAAACTTAGCGGAAATCGATTGGCTTTTCGTCACCATTTGGTTTCAATCACTAATAGATGTTGCTGCTGTTTCCACAGCCGTTTGTATATGTTCTTAAGCAACACCTGGGTCAACTTCTTTTTCAAACTACCTAATTCTGACCTCAGTTGTTCCTGGAACCTACTTTTGGTTTTCTTGTTACTCAATTCAATTCTAATGGGTCTTCTTAGTGTGGCTTTTCTGCTCCCAGAGAGGCGCTAGCAGATGCGTGCCTGTATTAGAGCATGGTCAGAGTGCAGGCAGGTGATCCAGGATGAGCAACAATCTTCTATTGACCCTCTTCAACGATGACTGATGGCAATATGGTCTATTTGAGTCCATCGTTGGTTTGGTGCACGGGGTCGCCATGTTAAACGATGTGTCTCCTTATGCTTAAAATTAGTACTTGCTAAAAATAAACTATTTTCCGAGCACAGTTGCAGCAGATAGCTGGAATACCAAAATGCTCACCTAAATGTCTTTCTGTTTGGTTTAAGCTACCTACTTGGGCATCAAAGTCATCTGCTACAAGTACTATGTCTGAGTGTTTAGCTTTCTGAAGAAGTTCAGAAGTCATCTTTCATTTCATCCGCGCTGCAGTCAGTGGGAGCCTAGGCAGAATCGACGAAAAGGCAACGAAGTGTGTCCCTATCCTCCCAAGTTCTTACGGAGCCGTTTAGCCTAACAGCACAGACAACTGTTAACAGGGATCCACTCTAACAATGCTTGTTCTGCCATCGTACTTAGTGCTATGCCTACACCTGACAATCCACGAGAACTAGCCATCGGGTCGCCACATACACGGAGGCTGTATCTCGGCGGCTCTCTGTTTGGCGAGGTGAGGTCGAGTGAATGACCACACTAGGATCCTGTATGCGTGTTTCGGAGACACAGCATACATCAATGGTACGAGATTCTAGGGTTCTAGACAAGGAAGCCTGTTGACCGATTTGACATAGGGTGCGTACGTTGAAGGCTCCAATGTGTAGTTTGGAGCGAGGTTTCAGTAGACCTGGGACAGTGTTTTGTACACTAGAATCGTTGGCCATGGTGATACTTGAGGAGGAAGCCAAAATGGGAATTTTTTTAGTGTTGAAATAATAGGGACTGAAGAAGGAGGTTAATTATGAATGTAGTGGTCGTAAGTGCTGTTAGAGATATGAGGGCGATTATGACTTCCCGGTTGCTCACACCGTGGAAGGGTTCTTCTAGGGGTATCTGAAAAAGAAATTGGATTAGAGGTGGTCTTAATGACCTGAGAGCGTGACCACAGTGCCCAAAGGACAACTGCTTGAGGGCGGTCACACACGACCTTTTTGTGAGTAATTTTCGTGCTAGCTCCGTACTTGTTGAGACTTTACTGCCGGAGACGGATATCCGTGGGATAAGGAGAGTTGTGCATTTTTAGGGTCAACCTTTTCTAACCCCAATCCTCCTTGTGAGAAGGCAGAATCGCTGTCAGGCTGGTTGTCTGAAGAAAACACCTTACTGCTGTCACACCTCTGTACAGTCAGCAGTACGACTTCACCTTCGGACCTTGGGTTTGTTGCTTTTAGTCTTACCGCTCTTCAACCAACCTGTCTGACATGGTAGGACCTTGAGGAACGGTTGTTCCAGCCAGTATAGCTCGATTGTTTCATCACGATAGGCAAGCCCAACCACCACGTCAAGGTGGCAACAACAATCTAACTTCAACTAACTCACCCGATCGAAGCTGCTACCTTGACGCGGTGGTCGGGCTTGCCTATCGTGATGACCCAACCGAGCTATATTGGCTGGAACATATGTTCCTGCAGGTTCTACCATGCCAGGCAGGTCGATTGGTGAACGGTAAGACTAAAAGCAGCAACTCAAGGTCTGAGGGCGAAGTCGTACTGCTGACTGTAGAGGGGTGTGACAGCAGTAAGGTGTTTCCCTCGGACATCCAGCATGACAGCGATGCTGCCTTCCCACAAGGAGGGGTGGGGTTAGAAAAGGTCGACCCTAAAAATGTCACACCTCACCTTACCTCACGGATTTCCGTCTCCGGCGGTAAGGCCCTTTGAAGAACGGAGCTAACACGTCAAAAATCTTCCACAAAAAGGCCGTGCGCGACCGGCCTC